ACATGGAGGACAGTCCCTTCCTAAACATCTCCACCCCGGAGCACTCAGGATGTCCCTGCACATGGAGGACAGTCCCTTCCTAAACATCTCCACTCCGGTGCTCAAAACCCTCTAAGCCAGGGTTGTGTGCGCACTGGTGTTTTTGTAACAGCTTTGTTCCCAGAGACCACTTAACTGTAATTTTCAAGAAGCTCATCCAAAAGACATCCGTTTTAACCAAATGTATTCTGAATCTTACCATGGAGAGAAAGATCCAGTTACGTTTTGTAGCTGAGTAACATGGGATTTATCCCAGCTCTGCCTCTTCCTGTGAGACTGAGCAAATTACTTACCTCTGTGAGTAGAGTCTGTTAATTTAGGATGATGACCTATACCTTATATTTAGGGATAAATAAGTTCTTTTATGTGGAGCATCTCAAATTGTCCCTGGCTTAGCATGTTACTCAGTAAGTGATAGTTCTTACTATCAACAGTTATCATAATCCTGGGTCACAGTTCCTGGTCTCTCATTGTATCTCAGCTATCAAACAATTCACCAGGACAAAGCAAATATATATAGACAAATGTCTGTATTAAAGCAGGAGTGGCATCCACTTCCTAAACAACATGCTTCCAGAAACTGTCGATAAATGTCGATAGTTGTAGAGGAGTTCATAGGGTCGCTGAGTTGTGCTCGACTCTACAACAATCAACAACAACAACATATTAAATAAGATACTAATTATGCATGTTAAGCTCTTTGTACACTGGGTCATAATGGTCACAGGACTCTCGCTAAGGGTTTAGAAACCACTGATGGAGAATATAGATAAGTAGTATTTTGCTTTATCTTTAAATTGTCAGTTTTAGAGACTGATGTGTAGTTAAAATGAAAACTAGTTTCACTAAAGAATCTTCATCTCTCACTCATTGCTATCCAGTGATAACTGACTCCTAGCTGACCCTCCTGCAGAGGGAGGCTTGAAACTGCACCGGAAGGATTGCTGGCACTGGTGAATTTGAACTGGCAGAGAGGTTCAATCTGAGTGTTAGCAGTCCAACTCCCTGTGAGCTGTGCCACCCAGATCTTCACAGTTACTACAGCTTGCATCTTCTTTGTGGGAGAAAGATGAGCAGTCTCCTCCTGTGCAATTTACAGCATCTGGAAACCCTGGAAGCTCAGCTATCAGTTGGTTCAGAACTAGTGGCACCTGACAGCATTATTTTAAAATTATACTGACTCCAACTTACTAAATTGCTTTCACAACCTGCGGGTGAATCAGGCCCACAGTTTGGAAAACACTGTTCAAAACTGCTTTAGAATTAGTACCACCTTCAAGATTGTTTGGTTAAAGGAGTTTGGATAAAAATTTCAGGCCTAGGTTCGTTCTTTTGGCTGTATTTGTTCACTGTTTCTCTTGCCTGGGTGGGGGTGTGGGCTTCGGCAGTGATGCCATGAATTAGTTCAGGTTGGTGACCAACAATCTGTCTGGTTTGGGCCTAAAGCAGGTATTCTGTCTAAAAATAAGACAGCTCATGCTTTTTTTCCCTTTTTCTTTTTTTTTTAAGGGTTGTTATGTGGAATTGCACCTGGTATACTTTGAAGGATATTTACTTTTCTAGAACAGTAGTCTTTTATTTTTAGATATTGAGCTGCATGAACAAACAAACATATGCTGAATCATAAGCAAAATAAAGCATATTAAAAACCAGAGTTATTTGGGCTGCAAGGGCTCCATGGAATGTGTTTTAAAATGTGTATCTGTAGAATTTGTTAAGTTAAAAGGGAGAAGTGCAGCAAGGGAAATAATTTTTTTTTTTAAAAAGAGTTCTCTTCTGTAAGAGATTACAAAAGCACTCTCCAGTGTGGATTAAAGGAAAGCATTTAACTGTGGGCACGCTGTCTGTAGGATTCCCCTCTCTGGAGCAGGCACAACACTCAATCAGAAGATGTGATAATCGAGACTAAACAGAAGTCGCATCATAAGGGAGGAATGAAAAGCTGTTAGATGCCATCATATAAACTGCAGGTCATAGTGACCC